ACACCGATCGGGTTGAAATTCGGCGTGCAGATGGATATTGTGACGTAAACGTCCCTTTAGAAAGGTTTTTGAACATTCTCACCCCAAAGTGGGTAAAATAAGGGGTGAAAGTTTGTATGATACTTTGCCAGTTTTAAATTGATCGGGCTGAGACTTTGCATGCATAAAGTTACTATGACATAGGTATCTCTTTAGAAAGGATTTTGATAAATTCCACCCCTAAGGGGATAAAATAGGGAATGAGAGTTTGTATAAATCTTCTTAGCCGTTGAATTTAGAATCATTGAATCTTTTTGAATTACATTCGGTAAAACGATGATTTAGGACCTGGGTAACGTATGATAGTTTTTTCACAGATGTCTCACGAGAACGGGATCTATGCGTCAATGCCCCGGGACTGTCTAACTCTTAACCACTGAACTTATTCTAGAGAGATTCGGTACAACAATAGTCGATAGAATAGTTTTTATTACTCAAACCTTACGTGATCGGGCACTGTACTGGTAAGATCCCTGCGGGATTATTTATTTATTGAAACTACGATAAATCATTTCAAAATAGGTAAATCTTACTTGGGCACTGAATTGATTCTGGTTAATTCTGTCAGAAGTCATTAATCTACGCGGACGAAGTCGCGGGCAACAGCTAGTGATAGAATAAATATTTAAACAATAAGGACCGTTTCTTTCATGCCCAATACCTAGATATTTAGACGAATATCTCTATTATTCTCAATACAAAACAGTATAGAAAGTATCGTCGGAACCAGGTTATGAAATACCATACAAGACTTAATTCAATAAATTACCTTCTATAAATAGGAGGTTCGTATAAAGCTATTTAGGATGACTGAATTATTGAGCAAATTAGGTACCTACGCATCTTTTATGATGCTTTAAATGGTGTATTAAAAGAGCTAAGAGCCTTTCAGTTTATTAATACATACTTTGAACCCTTGAGGGTTAACGTTAAATGACGCAAGCAACGAATGTCAGCGATTAAAATTAACCCTGTGACATTTAAAATATTGTAAGATTATAAGAAGGATTGTTGATTCAACCATGTACCGTTGGGGTCTACCCACACCTTCGTCCTTTGTTTTTCTAGCAGCTATTTTGATAGGAGCTTTTTATTTTTATTTTATTTTCAACCATGATCGTCCCACTGCAGGACAATGGCCTTTTGATTCGAGTACTTAGATGAAAAACTGTTTTTTTCTATTTTTTATCAGTTGAAACTGCTTCATAGTGTTTACATGTTAAACTGTCTCGTTGCTTGATCAAGTAGTCACAACCACGATGGGTAAAGTATTGGGTTAACAATTTTCGGATTTCTCAGTTGTAGAACGATGTCTGAAACAACCCGGTGGCAATAGGCTAACCTCTTATTGCAGGGAACTTTTAACATAACAGCTAAATAACACCCCTTTATTTATTGAATTAAATTCGTGATTGTCTCTCATGTGAAGCATCCCATCAGAGCCCACTTACCAAAAACTATAGTCAAAAACCTCGTCTAGTAATCGAACTTTTCTGCTTAGCAGTGGCCAGTGACTCGTTAACACCAATCATGCAGTGTGAATGTAAGTAAAATTGTCAACATGTAAATAATGTGATGAACTAGGTACGTAGGTATGTGGGTAGGCACGCGCTTCATGTTTTGCAACACAACAATCCTCGGAATGATTAAACAGGATGGGGCCTTACGTGAAAACTTGTTGTTTCTTTTTCACATGTGTATGTTTATGTCACGCGACCTGTTTACATAATATTTTCCCTGAAAAATGCATGTTGACTCTGCAGTTGCGAGGAACCGATTCGCCATACACCTTTGTGTTCTTTTTCAGAAGCTTCAATACTTATGGGTAACTGGCAAGTCGTATTTTAGTTTGAGAATCTTGAAACGAAGTACCTATGTATGTAAGTAGATATTAAGTTTATTTATGGTAATAATAATAATTGTAGTGTATGAGCACCTTTTAGATTAACGAATATTACATATTTTTATTTATGTATCTCCCTTGAGAACCATTGTTAGTCGTCGCCTCGTAGGTACCAGTATGTCGATAAAGATAGTTTCATTAAATGTTCTGTACACATGTGCAGTCTATGTATTTATTTATTTACCTTAAATTATTTTTGTATTATATCTAAATTATTATGTTTTCGGCTTACTCACGTAATTATTTGACGAGGACGAGTTCCTCGCGCACGGGTGCAATATGCATGTATTATACATATAAACCTTCCTTAAGAATCACTCTATCTATTAAAAAAAACACATCAAAATCCGTTGCGTTGTTTTAAAGATCTAAGCATACATAGGGAAAGACAGACGGAGGATAGCGACTTTGTTTTATACTATGTAGTGAAGATACTTGTTGATATTTTGTTCTTTTGCTAGACTATGTGGTCTCTAACCTCCAACCGGGATCTAAGCTGGGTAAAGTTGTTTAAATTTTAAAAGCAAAAGACGGAAGGTTCTCCGAGACTGCTACTCCTCACACCACGGGATCAACTTTTAAAGGTAAGTAGCTTATTTATCTTATTCAAACCCTCAGTTGTAAAAATAAAAAAACAGCGACTATTCTAATTCACAACTGCAACATATCAGGTCTAGTTATCAATTTACCTAACCAAAGTATTCGATCATCCACTGAAACATAAGCGACATTTTATCAATATTATTGAATCATACATAAACCATAGGTACACAAGTATTGGGTAATCTACATAGGATATTAGACAAAGGCAAGAATATCTGAATATATCCTATCTATCACCTTTTTCAGCATACGTCAGACAGCTGGCTGGTTTGTTTACCTGTTTTAGAAAGACATTAATTTTAAGGTCCTGCTGGTAATCCTTTAGCTAGCTAAAGCCGAGAGCGAATCCCATACATTGCCAGTAGGGAACGTTATCTTGATCTAGCGATCTCCATTTTAAGTGAGATTAATCTCCTACTAAAAATGGACGAGATCTCGCGAGATTTACGAGACTGCCTTACTAAACGATTTTTGTTTTATATTAAAAGAAAATACTAGTTGTTTCTTTCAATTGTTATTTGATCGTTACGTCCGTGAAAGTAAAAATACATAGTAAACTAATTAAAGCTCATTAAAAAAACTAGCTTCTGCCCCCAACTACCTACGTCCACGTAACTTTAGGCAAAATTAATTAGTTGCCATTTAAAAAAAAATCGTTATCAATATTTTTTTTCTTATGTTATATAATCTTATTATAATTTTTTCCTAATTTATTCCAATAACTACATATTATGATTTTTTACTGAAAAACATACTAAACTGTCAATCTCGCGAGATGTCGTCAATTTCGAAATCTGTTGGTATTCCCTAATTGCCAATAAGCTGAAGTCAATAATAATAATAGCCTTTATTCCGATATTCCAGTTATTACAGCTTTACAGTTACGAATACCATTACACAGTCTTACATATTTGATTAAATGTTTACTTTGTTAAATGATATCCCTAAGCTCGATGTGCCTCTTGGCATAGGCCTTCTCCAACTCCTTCCATTGCACCCTGTCTTGTGGAACTCTACTCCAGTATGGCTCCAAAGTCAGACAGATGTCATCTTTCCATCGGGTTTTTGGACGTCCCTGCCTTCTTTTACTGTTACAAGTTATTTACTATGAATCGTAATTCGTTTCGAATCGTATTCGTCAATGCTAGTAGCTAATACTCTTTTTCATGATGCTTATATAATATTATGATGCAAACCATTTAAGGCATCCATTAGCTACTTACATTTTTGCTATTTACTTGAATAATTATGATTAGAACGAAGTACAATAATAATTAGATACGGAATCGTGATAACTATTCAAGTCATAGTAAGTAAATTATGAAAATGAGAAATTATACTTATAGGTTGTAGAATTGAAACGCAATTATGTTCAGCAGACCTTTATTGTTTTCCAAAGATGTATTACATCAAAAATAAAAACATCTTATACATTTTGGCTTTAGCTTTTAAAATACTTATCGAGACAAAACATTTAAATTTTAAAATTCCACTACCCATTTATAACATTTAATTATACTTTTAAAATACATAAATTAAATACTGATCAAACATTTAACACATAACATTTATTTCTACGTAACTATCAGGTAACACAACATTTATCTTGGAACAAATACGATTAATGATTACTTACGTCATTAGACCATGATAATTAGAAAGTAGAATGACAAGGTTGCAGAAGGTAAAAACAAATAAACAGTCCTGTCTCGCAACTTTACCCTGTATATATCTCACAACGACACCCGTTATATACCCACTCTCTTCTTTTAAAATAATATCATACTTATAGTAAGATAAAGAGGATCAAAAATATAAATCTTCAAAATATCGAGATTCTTCAAGTAGTAGATAATATTGATATAGCAGAAATGTAATAAATCAGACTCATAAGTTTATCAGGAATGTGCACAGCTTAAGACTAAAGGGGTAACAGCTAAGTGTTAAACACTAATACACCATTCTAGGGGTCGGGGTACCTACTACGTCAAATTCTGACTCTACGTACAACAGAAATACATTTAGTACATCAAACACTCAAAAATAGTAATTATTACTTAACGTAGAATATCGAGCCACATTCGAGAATCGTACCGCGAGCTGACTTGATGAATATTGTGCCGTTACTTTATAATACATACATAAATATTTAACTTATTTATAATAATTATCCCTAATTTTAAATATAACATGTACTCAATAATTGTCAAATACAACATGACTAAAATTTTAAACTTGTAATGGCAAGTAATTAATTTAACAGCCTGGTTGCAAAAATATCACAAATAATGTGACTTGGGTCAATTTTTTTAATTAAGTACATAAAAATGCTAATAAAATCAAGAGATTAGGGCACAAGTAACCTCTTTTCAAAAATAAATAAGAAACAGTCCCGGGATTTGACCTTGTCAAGTCGGTTAAGACATGACTAGCCGAAGAGTGGGACTATTGGGGTTTAGATTTCATAGTTGCGGAACTTGGAGATAACCTCAGAGGGAGGTTCTTGGTTGCCAGTTCCCCAACGGCCCCAGAGAGCGGCGCCGCCCTCGGAGGCCCTGCGAGCTGCCGGGTTGCTGGGCCCCAGGCTGGAGGGGCCCGAAGCACGGCCACACTCCCCCTCGAGCATGCGATCCTTGGTGTTAGGCTTACTCCAGTGCATGGACTGCTGTACATGGTCCTTCATGCCAAGCCATTGCTTATAGCCCATGGCGATGCCGCTCTGACGCCACTTGTCGTACAGAGCACGCTTAGACGGATCGCACAGCGTCTCCTTCGCCTCCTAATGAGAAACAATAAAAAATCACAACGTTATTATTAGTTACGATTGATAAGTTAGTTTATTTAGCTAAATGAAGTAAGTATTAAATTATTTCAATTAATGTTGCGTCAGACTGATAAACTATTTTTTATTTAATGTAACAAATTCTCAATCTCTGACGATGTTGTTAATGTTATACAAAGATATTGTATTCGTATTGCGGTTACAAACCACAAAAGGTAAACTATATCAATGTCCGCTCAATATCTCTAACCGAGAAACGATGTAGCCACTAGTATTTTATAAATAATCATGAATAACTAGACTTATAAATCTGTACATTTATCCATCATCACCATCATCTAAAGTGTGGGAGGCCTCTCCCACTGCCTATACCTATGCTTCGGCACGAATGGGCCAGTTCGACCGGAGAGATAGCACGTCCTCACAGAAAACCGACGTGAAACAACACTTGCATTGTGTTTCGTCGTGTGAACGCGGTTATCGGAGGCCCAAGTACCTCCCCCCAATCTCCCCAATCCCCGAATCCTCAAATACCTAATCCCCAAAACGCCGGTAAAGCACTTGTAACACCTCTGGTGTTTCGGGTGTCCATGGGCTGCGCCGATTGCTTACCGTCAGGTGATCCATAAAAATTTAAAAAATCAGCTCTTGTCCTCTCTCTTATTATACGCTGCTTGTAAGTTTCTCCAATAGCACTAATTTCTTCACATCCGCATTATATTCTAGATTGGGTACTTAATGTCTGAACTCATATTATACCATAATTTCCATGTTCTGTCTAGTCGAGGTGAAATCCAAATGTTAAAGTATCTAATAATCGATGTACTTAGAACCTTCCTTCGCTCGTCAACAATGCAGTACTGATTACCTTTACGCACCAATACGTAACTAATTAATTAAGGCACTATCCAAGACTATAAAACTCTCGACACACCCCGCTCGGTCCACTTCAGTACCACGCCTTGTCCCGGCCCTATATCTATAGCACACAGCGGCATGCGCTACAATTTCCATTCCGGAATTAGGTCATGCCGTATGCAGAATATCGAACTGTGCATAGTTTGTGCTAACTCCCATTGTAATAGTGGATCAAACACGTTATTTTTTCTCGAAACAGAGGTTGTCATTGGCCTTAATTAATGTAACTTACCGTATCTCATGTAATAAGAGCAAGTTTATTTACCTTGCATCGAATACAATTCCTGTTTTTATTAAGATACTACTGAATATATCAAAGTATTTTGGTCTAAAAACTATGAAATGTAACTTGAAACCCTTGTTCGGGGACTTTTAACCCGAGACGTGATAAAGATACTATATAAAGTACTAGCAGCCCGTCCCGGCTTCAGTTTTTTGTAGACATTATGATGCTCTTCAATATTGTTGTACATTATTTTGTTCTATCGCTAATAGTTTCGGCAGCGCATTCGACGAAAGACATTTTAAGATTAATTTTTTTACACCTTCAGTTAAATTGTTCAAATTTTACCAAGGATCCCTAATTTTTTTCAAAATGAAATGTAGCCTATGTCAGATTGGTAGAATGTAGCATTCTATTAGTGAAAGAATTTTTTGAATCGGCCCAGTACTTTTTGAGCCTATTCATTACACACGTACAAAAATAGGTACAAATCTTTCCTCTTTATAATATTAGTATAGATAGAAAGCCTTGCCCCAGGCTCTTTTGAGTCGTGAGTAAACACGGAATCGTAAAACAATATACCTACTCACGTAAATCCTTGAAAAATTATAACTTGTTCATATAAAATGAAAGTCCCAAAGTATTTTAGAATACATATTAAACAAATTAAAGTCTTAACCAAGTTAAACATTAAACTTTAGTTACTTGAACTTCCAGTTTCATGTAGCCCTATTAATTCTCCACGTAAAACTTTGCCTCGGGGAAATATAAACAGTTTAAATACTGAATTAACAATTTTCAGTTAGAAAACTTTGATGATCGTATCTTTTTTCGTGTTACTTACTTTATTTATTTGCAAGAAGCAATCGAAGTCTTGCTATTATAATTAATTATGGTCTAGATACATAATTATTAACATAACATCGCACTTTTCAAAAAGTAGATACCGCCACACTTTGCTATTTTTTGCTTAGTTCCGTGTTATTCACCATGCGCAATACACAAAATGCCAAAAATCTCAATAGTATTACTTTAATCAACCGAGAACTTTGGCTAAGCGGTCATTAATACGATAGCTGGACCTACCCACAACGAGGTAATCTTTTAAGTACCTACCTCTAACAGGAAATAACTAATTAACAGTTTCCAAGGAAATAAGCAATTAATTTAATGCATACCCATGATGTACACAGGTACTTAGATCCATATCTACGTAAAATGGTTTATTAAAAAAAACATAACCAGCTACCTAATAATTAATTGTCACCTTGATAAGTGAAATATCGTTCAAGGTGATCCGAATAATAAAAATAAAGAAACAAGTTGAAAGTATTATGTAGTAGTAAGAAATTGAAGAAATTATTCAATAAAAAATGATTTTGAACTTGTAGTCCTACCTATGGATGAATATTAATGCTAATGCGTATCGTGAATTCCAAAAGGTCATAAATTCTTTAATCTTTAATTATTGCGCGGGTTTCGCGCGTCCAAACATTTTGACAACAAACAAACTTCAACTGTATAACGTTAGCAGAAAAGAACAAAATCTTTTAAACTTATTTCTTACCTTTAGTTGCTGGAACTTGGCTTCAGCTTCCTTGTCCCCATCGTTCTTATCAGGGTGGTACTGCAAAGCCAGCACCTTGTACTCAGCAATGATCTGCTCAGCCTGTAATCAATGCACATTTCATTAACATCATTATAACTAATTGCAAACATAAAACACGTTGAATCACATTTTATTTAATAAAAATTTGCTACGGTCGTCATTTACGAAGAAACGCAATATAACGGGGAACTGGACAAACCCAAACACAAGTCGTTGACTCAACTAAAGTTTACTTAAGTTTCCTCTATCGCGGAATAATCCCTTCGTTTGCGATTAAAGTTGTATGAATACCACATTCATATATGCAGTTGTATTTTTTTTATCAGATGTAGGTCAACTCTCAGGGCCCTCAACAAAATAAGGTCATCGGGCAGTACAGAACAATCAATAAACTAAGCACTAGAATTCGATATTCTCACTACTTCAACACAATAATAATTTAAAACTGTTGTTTTATAAAAAAAGTACTTACGCTGGAGTTTTCGTCACAGCCCAGCAAACCGTAGAAATCGTCGTTAGGGTTCCTTTGATAATTTAGTATTTCATCAACGCCAGTCATTTTCACGCGACCCTCCCTCACGAGACCCAAGCAGATACTGAATCAGAGCTAGCGCTGTGATGCCGCGCTTACTAAGCGCTGTCGACTATGCCATAGTCGATTCTTACATCGAATCGGATTGTATCGACTAAAGTAAATCGATGAATTTTATTTAGTCATTTGTACACTTATGTATTTTAAAGTATTTTTATTTTATACAAATCAGAATAAATACGTTTACTAAGCTGTGAAATTAGTAATAGCGCAATGTGAGTATGTAATAACATTAAGTAGCAAAAGTTTAATTGAAACAGAACGATTTCTAAACAATTCCTAGGCTTTCCACCTTGATCACACTAATTGTTAAATTTTAATAATTATTATTTTTTCATAACAATCATCGACAGCAATTTGGAGGTTAAGTTCTTTAACCTCTCATGTCATGGTCTGTGTACTCGAAATGACTTTCACTCCGTACTAGAACTCTTGCATCTGTGAGTGACTTCTGCTGATGTAATGATTTGATTTGGCTAAATTTAGAATTAACATATATAGAGGACAGTTTATCCGATGTCAATAGGAAGTTTTAGAATTAAAAAGTGTAAACAACATGTCTCCTTAGATTTAACGAATCAAGATTATTTATAGAGCTAATTACCTCTCTTCTGAATCTTGATTTAAGCTATGAGTACATTTTGAATAGTTAAAAGTACGTATCGTTTACCCATTAGTTACTCACAGTGACTAACTACATCATCGCAAATAAGTCGACTACCAAAATATTTAGTTGCTTTTCTACGCACTTATCACCTACCTACACACATAAAATAAAACACGAACAACGCGTTTATTAACAGCTAGATGTACACAAAAACAAATCTGATTGTGTTTGTGTGAGCTGTTTTCTCAATAACTGGGTAGTTACTGTTGCCATAATGGACGGGGTATATCCGTGATGACTATTTTGTATCGATTTATTTAACTATTGCTCTTAGCTGGTACTATTCTCGTCTTGTCAATTTCCGTCCCCGGGCAAAACTGGTACGATCTTCATAATATTGAATTTTGCTATGTAGATATTGGTTGTTAACATCGTTATTGTATAGCACCCCGCTCTGCGCGTCTAGTGTTTCGGATCGATGCATTCAGGTGGATAAACTGCGCGGACATAAAATCACTACATTGCACTAGCCTGATAGAACAGCTTGCACAGAAAGAGAGAGTACAACTTATGATAACTACATAAACCTAGATTCTATCAATTGAAACTGCGTCACATCATAGCGCTAAATATATGTACTAATTTAATAATTTTGTCTCTCACTCGTAAATGAAGTCACTTTTATATTAGTCATACATATTTTCGGGATTAGAAGAGGATTTATTTAATTTATATATCTAATAAATCGTATTCTAGACTCTTAAGAATTTAAAGATAATTCCAGATATGCATCTCGAATAATTAATTATTATTAAATAATATCTACCAATCTACTTCCTTCTAAAAATATTGGTGTCTTAAAGAAATTCGTGCTCACAAAATAAGTTTTATTTTCTCTGACCAACTCACAACAAAGATTAATTAAATACATACTCTAAAAATAAACTTCGTTGTAGACAATAGGCAATTAGATAACTGAGATGTGGGTCTTGCATTAAACATTTTCTAGTCCCACAATCGCATCAGAAAATACATTACTAACCATATTTGTACAATTCAATCTCTGTGCCTGACATAATAATAGTAATCAACGTGGTGTTCCTTAGGGATGTATTTTAGGACCAATTTGTATTAAATACTATCTATTATGTCCTACTAAATGTAGTACTACGGCAAGCTTTTTCTGCAAAAATAAATTAAATTGAAAAATTTTAAAACCCGACTGTAAAAAATCTAAAAGTAACAAAACAAGTTCGGTGTAAAAGCATTTAGCATAGTAGTAGTAATTTAATAAAAACAACTAGAATAGTTGGACCCATTATTATTTTTGACTCACATATCCCGTCTTATATGGTTGGTGGTTTTTTTTGAAGAACACTCGGGATATCAAGACACATCTAAGAATATTACACTCATACCAATATACATACATGCAAAATGCGCGCGAAAACCAATACCCTTTCTTCAGTCGGGTAAAAAGCCCAGCAATTCTATTGATTAATACATTCAGACAAACAAACCATACTTGGGCAACATACATATTAAAAGGACTGCTAACAAATAGCTACTAACAATCTAAAAATGATTGTTAATTCGGCATCACGTTTCGGCTTAGTGAGTTGTATAAATAAGAAAATGAGTGTTATTATGAAAATCTTTAGATAAATGGAGCATCTACCAAATATTTAACAAAGTTTCTTGTATTGAGGTCAAAATATGATCTAAGAATTGGGTCGCTTGTTCCCTTAGTACAAGGATGAATGGTTCTTAATGAATTTGCTCCAGTTTATTTAGTTCAGCGCATTATCCCACTCGGCATTCAGTGTTGAAGGTCTATTGCGTAAAGTGCCCTAACTAGCTAATAACCTTAACCAGAAATAGGATGTCCGATCAAATGTCCGTCGTATGTATCCAGTATTTAGGAAGCTACCCGTCGTCGTACAAATTGGTAGGTCTATTTACTACGTCTATATGAGTAATCCTACAGGTAGGTAACAGATTTACAGGCGTCTATTTTTAAATATTAGTTTAAGTGTTAGGAATTTACTATCAATGCTTCTATGATTTTATTTATAGCCATTTAATTTAAGTGATGTATGATATTGTCTAGCGGGTTCAAAAACTCCAGACAAGTAATTTGGCAGTTAATGCACCGCGCTAAACAGACCAAATTGAAAGAGATAAGTACGAGTAAATTGTAAATGTATTAAAATATCAATTACATATAAAATCTACCTGTTGTCCATAGAAATGTGTGCGACTGGTGTAATCGTGAAGGCTGACGACATTGCATATTCCGTGCATGCTCTAGACATTGGCGTCCAACGCGCTTTTGCATCAAAAATAGCTACTGAAGACGCTCTAAACGTAAGTTTACGCGGCTGAGCGGCCGCCGCGGCCGTGTGCCCCGCTCCATACGCATTTAATAAAGATCACAAATCGTGGTGCAGTATTCCAGTGTTGTTATTGCGCGTTATCAAGACTATATCACGAGTTATAATTATTATGTTTTGGAAGTGAAGCTATCGGCAACCGCTGTCAACGAACTATTCACTCGAAGATCTTCCATCTTTGGCAGCGGAAGTAGCGCCGGATGTCCCGGCAATGGGTGAGCGGTGGCATATGAATGCTTAACAACAATGCTCGCATCTTCGTCCCCATATTTTCTATGCGATCCGTGTCCTGCCGAAAGTTTGTCAACCTTTATTTTTTGTATTTGTATTCGTTTATTGCTCTATAGATAGATTTATAAAATCGTATTGCCCTTGCTAACCCTCGCCGAATGTTTTATATATTGTAAATTGAATTTTATAAGTAAGTCGTGACGAGGGTCTGGGGCTTTTGTGGGCAATTGTCTGAACATAAATGTGTATTGTTTTTATCAAACATCGGATTTTGGTTTATGTTGTGATGAAAAATCAAAAGTGTATTTAAGATTCGCATCACAGACAGTAGATACATTGAATAAAACATATTTCAACACGCACCTGCCTGCATTGTAATATCATATTTTAGCAAACAAAAAAATTCAACAATGTGTTCTCAAAAACACTTTTGTGAAGTGCGGGGTCCAAGGTTCGTGGCGTTTGTAACCGCTGAAGTACCTAGTAGCTCATTATGAGCCAGTCCTTGTTTGTGAAGAATGTAAGATTATAACTGCGCAGTATATACTAATATACCTTCCTCTAAAATTTATTCTCACTCTGGTAACATAAATTATCTTCGTAATGCTTTTAGTGCAGTCTCATCACCGTCACATATACCTAGTGTAATTAATAGCTGGTTTAAGTGCTCCACACACAACCTAACTAACTTAAAACTCCATTCATGAAGCTCCGTCTATTATAAAGTTAATACTAACTACCTAGTAACTACTCACTCAACAAAATTGTAAAAGCTTTGTTACGTGTTGACGTTAACTTTCAAACATTCGTTAATTAAATTACAGAGGATAACTTACGAGCCTTTTACATTTAACCCTTTATATATCGAACGCTTATTTTAATTAAATAGTTTTACGGCCTCGACCGATAGACTTGTTGACCATAAGTGCGTAAATGGACACGAAATCCACATTTCGACCTTCAATTTTATTAGAACTTTTGCTTCAAGTTAGAAATTCTCGATATTAGATACTCCAGACAATATTGTCTGGTAGGTACAACGTTAAAGAATTATAGACATGATACTATGTCACTGTAACCTACAACTAAAACATAAACAAATTGTCTTCAACTATGTAGTGTATCGTAAAATTAATTAGCCCAATGAGTTCAGAATAATATTATGTGTGACATTGACAGTATGGGGTACTGTTAGCCGCACCAAATACATCTCCTACCTACGGCTACGGTAGCCGTGCCGTATTCAAAGAAGGCAACAATTAAAACTTTAATATTCATCCAATGTACCACGAAGGACTATAAAGAGCTAGATAACGATCCTAGTTTAAAAATAAGCTAATTTATATTTACAATCGCGTGCTACAAGTTCAACTAAACTTATTTATTACATAGTTAATTTGTTACTACCGTGAAGTCGTTGGTTATATCTACATAAAACGCTCTACATTCCCCGAAAGGGTAGATATAAGTTCATAACCATATATTAAATACACCTACTTTCTGCAACTTGCGACCAAACCCTGGCACAGTTCCAAACACTGCCGTTGTGAGAATTTTGAAAATTACAATCATCCTTTGCATGAAATTGAAGTTTCATTTAGGGTCAAGGGGTGTCCGGAAGTATTCACTTTCAGTGATAACCTTTATGTCCATTTCTTTTATCCATTGCATGCACATTTAAATCATTATCACTGCTCAACAAAGGTCTCCCTCTTAACAAGACGTTTGCCATAATGTGCCCACTTAGAATGCTTCAGAATCGCCAGTTATGTCACCGAAAATATAGAAGATGCTGCTGCTGGAAGATTTCTTAGTCGTAGATCATAGTTTTAGGACATAACCGCACACTTAAAGGATAGGTGTAGGTACAATATTGTATTCTGTTTTATTATGCTTGTTTGCAGTAATATTTACGGCCACTCCGCCCTGAGGCAGTCTAGATCCAGATCACCTGTAAAATAGGAGTTTGTTTATTGCGCAGTTAATTTGTTATTAGTTACCTGCAATTCGTGCGCTATCCGTACTCGTTAATTCATTGGAAGGGGTGTTAACGATCATAGTTAAAGATTTCCATATTTCTGTTATTCTACTACCAAACGCGTAGTTGATATTAGTCCAAGTCCCAAGTTTCGAGAAAAACGATAGATGCTACAAACTTGGTTTTTTTTTGTAGCCGAAGTAGAATTGAAGGCAGTAATTCTACGTGACCAGAATTGTTATGGTTAAAGTTAGGATGCCTACTAATAAAAAACTATTCAATTTGTATCTTTGGTTTTTGCGGCAAGCAAGTAGTTGTTGGTAATTTCAATTTTAAAAGTTGAAGTCCTGTATAGAACGGAATCTGTTATTCACAGGTGCTTTGTTCTAGGCTGTACTTGGGACAAAATCAATCAAAGTTCATCGCTAACAATAGGCCGGCCTGGAAGTCATAGAGGACGCCTACGGTCAGCAGTGGACGTCTTATGGTTGACATGACAATGATGACTTAGAACTACACTCTTACCTATCCGTCGAGAAATAACTGACACGATCTTGTTTATCTAATAAAGTACAGGGCGTGGTTCTTTAACGACTTTCGCAAGTCGCTCTACTTTACTCTCTTTAAATAAAACATATAAATAAAATTATAAGAAATATGCTTTGAGTTATATAAATATGAGAAACAAACGCTTCAGTGTTATAGCAATCTCATAAAACATGTATATAGACGCACATCAACATAATCTAAGCTGTCACATTTGTTTGTAAGATTCTCGACTTTATAACAAGACAATAAAGTTGGAAATGTGTTAAAGATATTTAACAGGTTGTAGTAGGTTGGTTTGCTGGTACATATGAGGGAGATGATCTAAATCATTCACAGTATCTGGGATGCGTTTCATAAGACAGGTTGGTCGATGAACCCTTCATCTCAGTTTTGTGGGACACAGACTCGAAACCACATCTGCGTATCGTCATATTTCATTGTTTAGACTAAAACAATTTCCGTGATTCTGGAATAAGTAGGTAGGTGGTAGGTATATGATGGAATATAGGTCAAAATATTTCGGGAACAAAGAAAGCGTGGGATGGCAATTGTTTTAATGTTATGATCGGCCGTAGCTCGTGGGCGTGACCAACACTTGTTTTAGGACTTTTAGGAGATTAGTTACGAACTCAGTAAAAGAGGATTATGGCAGTGTTAACGATTCTCTCCATCATCATTAAATGGAATGGGATTGATCACACAATAAATCAGGAACTGCTGATATTGCTATTCTGATTTATTTCCTAATCTGCTAAGTAACAAATTTTCCTGTACCTAAATGACAAGTATTGTTGCTTGTTTTCCTGTAGATATTGTGAAATAATTTTATTATTGATTGAGCTAAGCCAAGTATCGGGTGTAATAAATAATTCCTTCTATGAACAATAAAATGTGATAGACAATAAATAATTTTAATCTTACACCTAATTGGTCTTTTTTAAGGGGGGAAAAAAGACCAATTAGGTGTAAGATTAAAATGTGATTTTTAAGTTCGGTGCAAGCAAAACCAATGCGATGCTACTAACAAGAAAGCTCGCCTTTAGCCCTCCGGACCTGTACATGTCGGGCACCAAGATAAACCTCGTAGAAGAGATAAAGCTCTTGGGCCTTACCATAGACAGAAAACTAACTTTTAAGTCCCATATATCCGCAACGTGCAAGAAAGCTGCAGACATCTATAAACAGCTATCACGAGCGGCAAAGGTGACATGGGGTCTAAACGGCGAGATAACGAGAACGATCTACGTCGCGGTCATTGAGCCAATTGTGCTTTATGCTGCGAATGTATGGGCCCCAGTGACGGAGCTGCAGTTGATTAAAAAACAACTAAATGCTCTCCAAAGGGGATTCGCACAAAAGATCTGTAGAGCTTATCGCACAGTGTCGCTCACGTCAGCAACAGTTTTGTCAGGTACAATCCCACTTGACCTAAGAATTCAGGAGAGTGCCAGTTTGTATCGAACCAAAAGGGGATTCTCTTTGGACTATCTGCCACCGGGAAGGGAGCTCGAAAGAGATGTGCCTTACCTGGACCAGCCACATCCCTCAAAGCTAATTTCAGTAAATTATGAGCTCCTGGAGAATAATGGCTCGGGATCTCCTCTCGCCAGCGTAGTTGCCGGTCCTCATATATATACAGATGGCAGCAGAATCGATGGAGGAGTCGGTTCTGCCTTAAGTTGGTGGGAGGGGGGCCGCGAGACGGCGTTTTCCACTTTTAGTCTGGACTCTTCCTGCACAGTTTTTCAATCCGAACTGTATGCACTGAATAGAGCCACCAAAATGGTGAAAGACAGTAAAGAGAGTAGAGTAAATATCATGAGTGACTCTAGATCCTCCCTCGATGTCTTAAAAAATCCCAAGGTGAGCCACCAGTTAGCCAAAGAAATAAAACGGTGTATTGAAAACATCAGAGAGCAGGGAAGAGAGGTTCGATTTTACTGGTTGAGAGCCCATGTTGGAACGGTTGGAAACGAGAGAGCAGATGAATTGGCTAAAGCCGCTGCCAAAACAAAAGACAACACCACGACAGGCTACTGTAGAGTGCCCATGTCTTATGTCAAAAAGAAAATCAGAGATGAAACCATCCAAAGTGGCAGGATAGATATACAACCTCCACTACTGGGCAGGTAACTAAATCGTTTCTCCCGGATATAATAGAGGC